CCCCTAGGTGGTGCCTTTTGGGTGCTTGGTGGGTGCTTGGTGGGTGCTTGGGGGTTGCTTGGTGCCCCTCCGCAACTTGCCATAGGGGCCTGGAACTTCATCACAGCTTCCATCCCACCAAACATGTTCTTCTAAACCTCGTGTTCCCTGTTCACTCACCATGGGAACTAATGCACGCCGATTCCTCTCCTGGCATCTGCTCCACGCGTCTTCTCTCCCATGGTCCAACCATTTTGCTCTTCCCTGCCTCGAATTGGCTGTGTGCAACCGTTGCAATCACTGGGCGAGCTGCTCAGCACCGTGTGAGGCAACACCGCACTTTGGAATGGTAAGGCTACCATGGGACGCAATCGGGCGCACCTGTGCCCTTTGACCACGGGAGGGACATGGACTTCACCCTGGCCATAGGTGGTCTTCCGTTTCGTTGGTTTCATCTCAACTCTTCTCTCCACGACTTCTGTCCTTACGCCTTGCCCCTCGCATGCGTTGCGCTCTAACAGTAAATGCGAGCGCGAATCTGCGCCATGAGGTGACAATCTCGCCCACGACAGCATTTGCGGAGATCCCTCAGCTGGGAGAATCGGGCTGAGATGGATATCTCTTCGCTTGTTCGAGCTAGTATGTCCCTATCGCAATGGAAATGCTTTTTCTAACCTCCAATGTCAGTCATCGCAGCTTTTGACGACGCTACGAAACTGGTCCAGCGCATTCGTGACCAAAGAACGAATAGCGACGGCTTGCAATTGCCGGAAGAAGCCACGCGAGACCTACTAGAATCTCTTGCCTTGGGACCCATTATTGTCCGTGGCCACTATGAACATGATCTCAAACGATTCGGAGAACCTTATGCCTGTGGTGATATACAAGCGCGGGAACAACTAAAAGATGTCTTGATCAATTTACAAATGTCTCTGATCATCACCTTGAGGACAGTGTTTATGGACGGCATTGAGCTTGACTTTCCTGCCCTCCAGGCAGTGTCAGATGATTGTCGAGTCAATGCCGGGGTCTGCCTTGGTCAACTCTCACAGCGACTTTCGGATGCGGTGAAAGCGCAGGCATTCTACCCTCACACACTGTCGTTTTCATCAACGCCTGGATTGTTGCCGCCTCTATCTCCGTCCTTGGGCTATTCCAGCAGCCGTAGCACTCACTCATCAGGCGCCTTTCCAGCCCCTCGCACTCCTGACGCTATTGCGGAGCAGTTTGGTCAACTCAGCATGTCGCCATCATTCCGTCATCCATTCGAAGATCGTAAGATGTCGATTAGTTCTAGAGGATCTCAGGAGCAATATCTACATCCTCAGTCTACCACAGTTCATCGACCTGCCGCGGGGTTCCATGTGACCGCACCGGCGGTCGGAGTTCATAGAATTGACGAAGATGACGACAGAAGTATGCGGCGACGGTCGTCTCAGGCCCTGGCACCGGATGACAACATCCTGTTGATGTTTCCTCAGCCCGGCGGTCGGCCAGTTTTGACTCTCCCAGCAAACGGACAGGATATTGATCAAGAATCATATGCCTCGGGTAAGAACAGCGACGCACCGTCACCCGAACTATCCCGAGCGTCCAGTGGCCATCGAAGTCAGGGCTCGAGAGATCGATTCGGACCAGATGACTACGGAGACCATATTATAAGGGGAGATGGCCGGCAATTCAGCAATAGTACCATCTACGACATGTACCAGCCAACGACTCCAGAAAGACAGGCCTCTACCTCTTATTCCTCGAGAGCACAAGCTTCCAACCACGCCAGCCTGGAGCATGTGCGATATCTGCAAGAAAACAGCAGGCCACCAAGACGAGAACCAAGATCTGATTCACTTGGCGTTACAATGAGAGCAAATCGCGAGTTCCCTCGACGACCAGTTCGTTCTCCGACAGACACTCCAACTCTATCACGAGAATTCCTGTCTCGTCCGTCCGTCTCTGCCCCTATTCCCATTGAGCCAGCTCGTACACCGCCACCCACGGGCCCTCTCCCGCGACCCCCTGCACAATCCCATTCTCAATCGGTCGCTTCCAAACACACCTTGCCCCCTCCCGATCGTGCGCCTTTAGTCCACACCCTCGCCTCGTCCACTGCTCCCTCCGTTACCCCTCTCATAAATACCGCGCCCCCCATCCTTCCCACCGATAAAAACCTTCTCGGCTTCTGCAAAGGTGCATTCCGCCTTCAAGCCGGCATGGAGCGCAAGGCATTTACCATTGCCAACCGGCCCCATGGCTTATCCGGGATGACCTCATATTGGCGCTGCGAGAAATGCAATTTCGAGGGGCCCGTCCATAACACGATAAATACCTCGGATGATAAAAAGAAGAAGGGGAAGCCCGAGAGAGTCTTTGATCCTAGAATCCGTCTTTCTGAAGGTGGCGGAATCCGGTATCGTTGGACTTTCCTAGCGAGGTGTCATGTTTCGTTGAAGGGGATGGTGCTACTCGATACACCGTCTGGCAGGGATGGGAGTTTCGGCAGTTTCGGGTGCATCTTTTGTTGCGCGGAGGGCAAGAGTCGAGGGTGGTTGGACACATCCAGGACGGGCAGCATTGTTGGTGGCCCGATTACTGGGTCGAATGTGAGCACCAAGTCGGGACATACCGCCGCGAACAATACTGCAAAGGCCGAGGGTATGGCAAAAGCGACGCCCATCTTTGGCAACGTGAGCAGTTTCATGCAACACCTTGAGAGCGTCCATCGACATCAGGATGGATGGCCAAACGCCGAGATGGTCGGTCGGTTCCGCGTCGTGGTAGGTAGAATGGCGCCGGTAGAAGAGACAGGTTGGGAGGTAAATTTTGTACCATTTTGATCACGAACCATCCTAGGGGAGGCGTTTGGTTCGGCATCTGACAAGGCTGGCTTCGTTTCAGGACATATTGGGTGGCATTGTGTTCTGCTGAGCGTCCTATGTCGGGGCTAATTGTCGAAGGGATGTACATTGGGACTTATGAGGTTTTGTCATCCGCGTGCCTAGGTATTCAAGCACCGTGTAGGGAAATGGTTGCAAGATGAGTCTAGGAGCGTGTACAAGCCTGCCTGGATGGATGTGATGAGATGCCTCTCTGAATCCGCCTTGCGAGGCGGCCAAACTAACCAGGGAAGGATTAACACAATGCTGGTGCATAGCAGCTGCCAATTACGCAGCATTGTGACCAAGGCACAGCTTCTCTTTTCCGGAACCCTACGATATCACCATGACCCTAACCAGGTCACATCCTCGATACTCAGATGCGCTTGTAATCCCTCAGAACCGCCGAAGTCGACTCGGCACCGGTTCGTAACGTTGTCGAGCGAGCTGGAAGACAAGATGCTCGCCATTTTTGTGTCTAGAAGCACAATCTGAATCTCACACCTATTCCACGAAAGCATTTAGACTTGTGTACAGAGTCGTCAAACAATGCTGACGGGGGTTTTCTCTGGGTCAGGCTGGCTATCCAATCGTCGCTTCGCGAAATCAGGAATGAAGACACCTGGGGACGTCTTGAACCAACGTCCGGACTAGCTCCCATGGACTACCCCCCATCTGGGCTCTTTGACCTCCACATGCACATGTGGAGAAGGATGGCGGGTGACTATCCAATATATGCTAAGGAAGCTGCGCTTTACCTGCAGATCATTCAACGGTTCGGAGGATGAAACCTGATCGAAATGGCCACCATGATGAATGACGATCTTCATACCGGCTTCTCGCAGCCAGCAGCCACTTGGGGCATCAAACAACTAGAAGCCAAGGTAAAGCACGGAAAAGCAGAGAAAATGATCACCACATGTTGTGCTAGATTTTTAGAGGTGGTGCGCAATCCTAATCCTTGGTGGCAGGACGATGCCCTCCAAATATACGACAGGCTTAAACACAGCCGGTTTGAAATGTCATTTTAGCTTCTATTTCTCCCGGCGTAAATATGAGTTCGCACTCACCTTCACAGCATCAGCAACGGCTCTAGAAGAGCCCAAGCAATCATACAAGGACGAGTTGCGTGCCTTCAGCAATGGTGTGGATGCATTCCATGTGGCTGGATGGACGGATGAGGAAATTCACACAACTCCCGGCCTGGGAAGTTTGAGGGAGGCAGTTCGGTGAGTGAGTGACAACGGTCAAAAAGGTCAGAAAGAGACGTATTTTTCAGAAGACCAGGTTGAGGATGATTGTGCATTGCCAACGCTCGGGAAGGTTTAATACGACGACGAGCTCTTTGATGTTTTCGCTTCTACGACGGCGAATGGAACCTCGAGATCTTATGGACATTGGGAAACAAACTGCCAGAACTCAAGATGATCGGATGAGGAAAGGACAGGAATCCAAGAACTTCGTCTGTCTACCTGCAGGAAACAGCATTAAACGGACATACAAGTACCCTTCAGCCTGAGAGCGTTCCCGTCGGTTCTTGCTTCGCCCAGAATGAACACGACCTCTGCTTGGGTTCTCGAGGCCCCATGATCATTGGAGCCGTCGGGCGAATACGAACTTGACTTCTCCCCATCGGTCGGTCATTTGCAACTCGCTTCGCCGGCACCACAGCAGGGCGCCTCAAGAGCTTAAAGGTACGTACGCGAAACTGGGCTAAATCGGTCGGCACAATCACTTGTAAATCTGCTAATCGCTCTTGGCCAATGACCCCCTCTTGCTCATCTCTTCCCTCTATTAGCCGAGCGTATCGGAAGCGTGTTCGTGATGAGGCTGTGGCAGCCTAGCCTGAGATTTGGCCCCTCTGGTCTAGACACGAGGCCACATCACTTCCGTAGGTCGTCTGTGTTGAAATATGGCAGCCACAGCGCAACATGTTCGGAATATGGGCAATCGTTTGGACGACTTTTCGGGAACCTCTTGTAGACCACCCCACGCATGTGAAGGTGGAGACTATTGGTCTTTCCCTCCTTCCACCATATATCTCACCATGCGCTCACACGGGGCATCAGGCTGAAGTCACCAGAATCCCTCTTCTCCACCGTCCTTTACTGAAGACTTTACAGACTACAATAGATGTCAGTGGTCACCATGGGAGACAACAATCACCAGAGTACTCCGTCGGCGGTAGCTAGGACGTCAAGTGTCCTGACAGGCATCACTCTCGTCGCCTCTCGCCTGGAACAAGTACCCGAGACACCCTCTGCAAAGCCTTCAACTGAACAGAACTCAGGGGGCTCTCTATTGGGCAACCGGCGAGTAAGTAGTGTGTCTGAAGCACCACAGTCAGCTCGCCCGGCGGCGTTGAGGCAGCTTTTGGGCGATGCGGAAAACTTCCAAAACCGGTCAAGTCTTGATGTCTTTCAAGTGTCGAAGCAGAAGACAGGTAAGTGTGAAAACCTCTGCTTGAAATCTCGGAATCTGATCATCAGGATGGCACAACGGCGTCGGCGATGAGATGATCAAAGCTATTATCTCGGTAGGGTTGGATTTAAAAGCTGGAATCCTCTGGCCCGTGCTCACTGACCTGCAGGAAACTGAAAAGGACTGCAATCCTTCGCACCCTTCACTTCTCCTTTTGTGGGATACTCCGCTTAGTCCCCCTTTTAACGGCTCAGCTATGGTCACTGACTGTCTACAAAGTCTGGTATACCTCGAAAAGAACGCTGGTGCGACTTGGGGACGTCGCGCAACCATTTCGGTCGAAGCCATGAAGTACATCAGTAGGAAATGGCCAATCAATGGAGAAATTCTCCGTGATATTTTCGGCCGACCTGATTATTGGTCTGCTGTAAAGACCTCTCGAGAAAATCGACATTATGGTACGTTGATAATTTTCGTCGAGAAAGCTGTGGTGACCAACTGTAGGTCTTGTCGAAAAGAGGTTGGATGTCAGTTCGCTCGATGGCTCATGAGCTCGAGGTGGGATAACATGGCGGGACCTGTATCACCGGTTTCCATATCCTTCCGGCATATCGTGCCAGAGAATCTCACCGTCTACATTATTTCGGGCGATCCAAAGGATAGCTGCATCGGCTCGATCAAAGACCAGCTTGGCTTCGCCGAGGGACTCAGCCCCTCCGAATATATTCAGCTCGAACAAAGGAGGGCCGCGCAAAGTCCCTTTCTAATTGTGGCCCAGACTTTGCAGGCATCGCTCGAGCAGGCTAAAGACTATGTGGCTATTGTCAAAGACCGATTGATGGGCCAAGTACGTTAGCTTCAGTGAGGGAAAGGTATGACATGCTCACTGGGAAAACCTAGATTAACAAAGTCGACGACTACAATGAAGCAAAGCATAACTACACAGAAGACCCCAAAGACTTGCAGCGCTTCTGGAGAGACAAGGGTAGAAATCTCCTAGAAGCCATCACCGAACAACTTCATCTAGTCTCTCAAACCATTGATTCCGGCATGGCCAACACGGACATGTCGATCAAACTCACTGATATCATAAAATCTGCCTTTGATTCCAGCCCGTCAGCGAAGAGTCCTCAAGAGAGTGTTGTTGCGGAGACTGCCGAGCTGCTCGAATACCTTTCGCACTCGTGGAATTGCGAAATGAATTGGCTCAGGACGTACAAGGCTCGGAAGGACACTACAATGAACTTTGTGAGTTACTGGAATATGCGTATCCATCCCACTTTGTCACAACGAGAACTTGCTGACGATACAAACGACAACCGCAGGTCTTCAACGCTGTAACGCAGCAGGACAGTGCCATCAACATTGACATGGCCCGCAAGATGTCCCGGGACAGTTCGTCAATGAACGCCATCACGATATTGACCATGATCTTCCTCCCCGCTACCTTCGTGTCGGTAAGTACGAGGTAACCGTTAGCTAGCTAGAGAGCAGAAGGAGATCCGGCCTTCCCTCTTCTTTCTAATGTCTTTGCAGGGCGTCTTTAACAGCGGTATCCTGACGTCGGAAAAGTATGAGGAATACGTCCGATCTCCACTCTTCTGGCCATATATATGGACCGTCATCCCGTTCACTGTCTTTGTCCTCATGCTCTGGCTGACCCGGAAGAGGCTGGAGAGGGTACTAGAAATGGTTCATGGACATTGCAAAGGCGTATCGCCTCGAAACCCCACTCGAGGCGGGACGAGATCATCATCACGGAGGGAAGGAATTGCAGGTAACAAGCCTTGAATCCACGAAAGTTTGTTTGTAGAAACGTGTGGTTGTGGTGGTGGGCACTTGCATGCCCGTGGCAAGACGAGGCTGGTGATCCTCAGGGGCAAGCAGCGGTAACTCTCGCTGGCTGAGTCTGCACTAGCCTTTGACTCTTGCCTTTTTAAACTCAGTTCTGTGGTTCGGATCAACAAAGAGCTTAACTCAGACTTTACTGGAGCCTCGAGAAATATAACGTTATTATGCCGGTTATCAAACTAGTGGATGAGACAACCAACAAGAACTCTCTGCCATCCCAAAGACAACTACGGGTCGAAGAACATCCGAGACCCGTGATAGCTGCTCAGAAGTTATTGTGCAAGCAGCCCAGCAGCCAAGTTGCCACAGCCAATGTGAGTTTGCAAGTATCATCCGATTGGCGCACTGTACCAGGCTAATCCTTGCTAAAGCGATGGTTGCCTAGAGCTAAACAGGTCCCAACGAATGGAAAGAGACAAAACCATATTGTAGATGAACCTTCCATCATGATCATTCCCAATCTCTGGAAACGACAGTGATCGCGTTCTATCAAATACTCACCACCAGGGATTCTGCGCAATGCGTCCTCCGATCCTTGCTCGTGGTTCTCATGACGGACGAAAGGCGGAAGATTCGGGAGGACCGTCGCCAAATGACCGAATGGTACAGGCACATTTACTCAGCTCGCTGTGAACATGGATCATACTTGTGCGCGGTACCCGATCTCCTCTCTCGGACGAGGTCGTAAGCCATATGGCGAACTGACGAATGCTCTGCCCTAAGCCAACTGGAGGCAATGCGAATACGCCGTGAGAAGGGCGCGCCCAAGAGGACTTGATAGTGGAATGTCATGTTGGTGCGTCAGTACAAGTATTTCAGAGTCGTCTTGCGGCTAGCAAATACTTCTCTTCAAGCGACCAAACCTATCAGTGCCTTTTGCAGAAACCACTTCAACGTGGTATACTTCCCTGACGTTCGTAGGTTCATTTTCAAGATCAACATGGATTCCCGAGAAATATCAGCGGAGTTTCCCTTCACCAAACAACGGGTGTCCATCCTTGACTCAACGATGGCGTACGTTGACACAGGAGGGCCAAATCCCGCGTCGCCAACCATAGTCTTGGTGCACGGCAACCCGACCTCGTCTTACATCTGGCGCAATATCATCCCACATCTTTCGCCGATCGCAAGGTGCGTTGCGCCAGACCTCGTAGGATTTGGCGACTCAGGCAAGATGCCTTCAAATTCGTATTACGTCCGCGACCACATACGGTATTTCGATGCGTTCATGGACAAAATCTTTGAGAACGACAATGTCAAGGAGAAGGTGTTCTTGATGGTCCACGACTGGGGCAGCGCCCTCGGATTGCAATGGGCGAGCCGGAACGAGGAGAAAGTGGTTGGACTGATCTTCATGGAGTTCATTCTCCCCGGGATGAAGCTGGACGATCTGCAGGACGGACGGCAAATATTCCACGACTTCCGCACAGATAGTATTGGCCGCAAGCTCATCGTCGAGGATAACGTCTTTATCGAGCTCGTCCTCGCCAAGGTCGGCGTCAGACGAGGTCTGACGGAGGCAGAGCTTGCGCATTACAGGGCTCCGTTCCTCGATCCGAAGACTCGTGAGCCGATATACCGCTTCCCGAACGAGCTTCCCTTCGACGGTCACCCCGTTGACGTGGCCGAGCTCGTGCAGGCTTACTTCACGTGGTTGACCACCACGGGCGTGCCGAAGCTGATGTTCTGGGGCACTCCTGGTGCCATCGTTTCGGTCGAAAGAGCCAAGGTGCTGGCCGGTCAGATGAAGAATGTCAAGAGTGTTGGAGTCGGTCCTGGAAACCACTATCTACAGGAGGACAATCCGGACCTGATTGGGAGAGAGACGAAGGAATTTGTCGAGCAGGTTTGGAGGAGAAAGGAATAGCGGCCGATTGATCATCTGAACGTTATTTAACATGTTGAACTAATCTTGCACCATAACTTGACTGATTGTTTCGGAAGGAAGAGAAGTTTTATCTGTGACAGAAGAGGCTATAGCCGGTGCCGTAGTGCTAAGAGGTCTTCGATATTGCCTAATCAGGCTAGTCCGACACCCTGCTGTGCCGCACAAAGTTGGGCGTACCTAAGTATTTCTAGCTGGAAGTCGCTTTTCCTGAAACTCGTTTGGTCTCCGGGAGAGTCTCCTACACTCAGTCCTGTTTCTGATTATCTTTGATTGCAGGTGAAGTTGCAAATAGTACACCGAACTAGAGTCAAGCAGGATCAGTTGTAGCAACCCGTCGAACAGCTCGGAATACCGACTCAAGTTCCCTTGGCCGCGATTGAACTGGGCAGTGCGGCTCTCAAACCCATCCTCGGAGAGAAAACATTCTAGGGCTGCGAACCGTGGATCCCAGCGCCGATGATATCCTTCCCGACCACATGGCAGCGATGTCTCCTGGTAACTCCGTGCCGTTGCGGGTATGGGCATTTGTCTTTGTTGGAGCTATGTCCACCGTAGAGTGGACCTAGAGGGGGCGCAACCTAGAGTAGACGCTGCCCGGTTTAGGTTCCATGTATAGAGGAAATCGCACCGCGACGAAGAAACTTCGCCACCATATTCCGGTCAGATTTGTAAAAATCTCCCAGGCATATTCTTGGCTTGCATCCGAGGTACTGTAGACCCTAATGTTCTTGAAGCGTTTGCAGGGGTTTGAAAAATTCCCTGTACCGAAACAGTCATTCCAGTCGCGGGCTGTATCGGATCCATATAGACTGAGCAATTCATCGTAAACTGTGGTCCATGCCCAGTTCCCGCTCTCTAAGTGCCCAGTTTGATAATGAATGAAGGGTGAGTATACGCCTTCGAACACCATCTCGAAAGTGATGACACGAAGTTCATCACCGGATATGCCGAAGTGCTGACGAGCCATCTGGAGATCGTACAGTATCAACTCCGCCTCGAAATCGAATAATTCACCGGCCTTAAGCGCGCTCAGGACATGCTCCTGACCATGGGTGAAGTTGCCACTTAGCCAATGGTAGATCCCCTGTACCCAGTGCGCCACAGATAACATGCACGTATTCAACTGAACCCCGCTGAACCTCACATTGCAGGTGACTTGTGCAGTTTCGCTGGCCACCCCCGCTTCTTGGTACCATTTGCACGACTCTTCTAGAGCCCCCTGACATGCAGAGCTTTGAGCTACCAGAAAAGCAAAACACGCGTCACGTGGAAACGTCAGCTCGTAGAGAGCCGTCGCAAGTTCCCCTGCCAGTTCACATTCACCAGCATCAAGCTGGCGAATAACTATGTCGAATCCGGTATCCTGTATCCAGGCCCAGCTATCGAAGCCCGAGCTGCGTGTGCTACGTGATATGTGATATGAATCAGCAGCGAGGCCTTGGAGCACATTCAACAAGAGTTGTGCGGCGTCCATCGACTCGTCGCCCGCCAATTCTTGTTGAATCCAGATGTCACACTTTTCGGATAATCCTCGTGCCTGGTGCTCGTCTCCTTGACACCCTCCGTATGGTCCCCATGTCGCATTCTCATAACCGGGAGAGTCGCATGGGGTGGGATTTTCCGTCCACCTACTACTTAATAAGTCATCCCAGATGTGGAGACACTGACACCATCCAGGCAGGGAGAAGTTGCATGTTACAGCCGAGGCGTCCGGAACCAGATCTGTCCACTGGAAGTGCATCAAGGCCGGAGCAATGACTGCACAATCACGGGGATCCCTTTCATATAGCTCAAACAGCGTTGAGTTGAGGCCGAATGCTTGGTAGAAGACAACACCAAAGACCTCTGCAAGAGGGAAGCCCTCGAGAACACAACAGAGGTGACCGGATTGGTAAAGATCCTGAACGAAGCTCAAAGCAGCAGTGCGATCCGCCCAATACGATAGCAATCTTCTTTTCGGCCGAAAAACATTTTGTGTCAGCTTGTCTTCAAAACCAAGCGCTTTTGTACAAAACGTTAACGCCTTACTAAAGAGAACGTCTGCCTCTTTGTAACGTTCATCAAACATGAGCAGTTTTGCAATACCAAGCAACGCTCCTGCAGTTGATGAGTGTTCTGGACCATACATTCGAGCACGAACTTCGGCAAGCCACGTGTACCAGGCTTCGGCAAGCCTTGGCAAGAACTCATCCTCTCCTAAGAGGATGTTGGCGTAGCTTCCGACAATCTTCAGAGAGAAGGGATGTCGATAATGTAAGCGAGAACAGGCTTCTTGATAAGACCATTGAACTAGGCCAAGGTGGTCGACTCTGTCCCCGAGGGTATAGGAATATCTCCATGGCACTGCCACGAGTCGCGAGTGTGGTGGCATGAGGAGCCTCGTCAAGCTTAGAACAGCATCATCTAGGATGCCCCAGAGAAGCATCATTTTCTGAATGAATGTTTCAAGCCACTCAGGCCATGTCTTCGCCCGAAGAGCATCGGGATTGAGATGTAGTGCATTCTCCTCGAGAGTAGCAGTAGAGAAATACTCTTTGACGGACTCGAAAATGTTCTCGGTCTGCGAGCGTGGGTTCACACCAAGCACCCAGCCAGCCTCGACGAGTCGCATGGCCTGTGTTGAATAATAGATCTGCATTGGTCGAGCGAGCCTCGAACGTACCCAAGCGTGGATCTGAGGGTGCATTGAAAACAGTGCAAGAGTATGAGCTGTATAGGCCAAAGCAAGAGTCCAGATGCATGTCGCTCCACTGGCTTTTCGGTGGCTCCGTCCATCGCTGAAGCTCATAAAGAAAAGAGAAGGACCCAGTCATTGGATGACTAGGTAGGACTGCGTATCGTAATATCTTCGGGTCCAGGTCACGTCGATTGAGGAAACCCATCAATTGGAGGAGTTCTGCTGCTGCTCGGTCTTGACTCTCGATAGTCTGGAATGAGACTTCCCAAGTCGTAAAAATTGAGTCGTTGCGGTAGCCCCGTAGAGCGAACGCAGACTGCTTTTCCAACTGCTCCAAGAAGGCTGTTTCGTAAGTCGTCAGTTCCTCTTCCAGCCTCTGCAAGATTTTATGTTGTGTGCCACGAAAGATGAGAAGGCGTCGTGATATGTACGCGCTTGCTTGCGCTATCGCAAGCGGCATGTCGCCGAGTTTGTCCAAGACGCTGTCGAGGAGTTTCATTGCTACGCCCCGTTAGTGCCCCATGTACGCGACAACCTGCACACGTACCTGATGACCCTGACGGGAGTTCCAGAGACAATTGTTTGAGAAATAGAGCTCTGGAGTCTTCCCGCTGGAGTTCTGACAGCTTTATGCATCTCCACTGAGACTATTCGCCGCTCTCTGGTCGTCGGTTTGTTACAAGCGCCTTACCTTGCACATCGCAAGGAAAGAAATCGCGTACATCGAAACTCTCGAGATCGTCGACGTTGTCGAAGAGCAGCAGCCACGGTACATCCTGCCGCCGCCACAACCAACCTTTCACAAGTCTGTAATCCATCACACACTCAGACTCCACTTCATTTTGGAAAGTCGTGTTGCTTTTAGCCCATTTCCACTCTAGATATTCCTGTGCGACAACCGGGTCATCTTTGGCTAAGAGTTCCCGAATTCTCTGGAAACTAGCACAACACGTTACGTTGCTGGTACCATCGACCTCTAGTATAGCGCCGAAGCGTTCTCCGTAACTCTGCAAATATGCCATGGCCGTCTGAGTCTTGCCCATTCCTCCAGCTGCATAGATGCTGACAATGTTAGGAGAGTCTGGCCGACTTGGCGTCCAGGGCAGATGATGCACGCGCTCCAGAGTGTATTCGCGACCAACGAAGTGCTGTGTCACCGGTATCCCTAGGGATGGCCGTACTATAGTTGCCTTCACAGGGCGCGAGGGGACACTTATAGACTTGCTCCTGCGCAAAGAGGCAAAAATACCTCTCAGCTCTTCAAGAATGACCTACATGTTGGGATCGTCAGCGGCGCAGAATTTATTCATTCCACGATGATCTGCGTCCAACCATCGGCTCCGAGGGTAGCCTAAAGCACCCGGATGCATCTTCACGGTCTAATGTAGTTGGTTAGTGTGTGTCAACGCATGCAGGAGCGAACATACAGGTCAAACAACGATTCCAAACTCTCCTCAGGCCGCATTTCTGCAAAATTGCAGACATAGATAGAATCTTCAGTGCTGCTCGAATACCAAGGTGGATAGGACCTCCTGAAGTCTTTGTCAAATTCATAAATGTCTTGGTGTTCTCACTCATGAACCTTAACAGTCTTGTGTCAGAGCCGCGTCAAGTGGCTGTGCACGCAAGCATCGAGGCAGCTTTCGTGAAGCTGGTTCCAGCATGAGGAACGCCGAGGAAGAGGATTGCCTTCGTTGCCGCAGCAACATGACTGGATTTCTGGCCCAGTGCCAGAAGCAGGCTCTGATGGCGCTGTGAGTACCCTTGATTCCGATATAATATTGCAGGTAAAATACCTTCCTGAGGAGGATACCGCCAAAGCTATGGGCGATAAATATATAATGGGCCTCGTCGGATCCTGAACCACAATTAGTATTTACGTAGTATCTTATGAGGTGGCATTACCGTGTGGAGGTCTTCGATGTGGTCTAAGAGTTGGCCAGCATGGTCGCTTAGCTCCATATTGGGCGTCCTCGAATCCCAACGAGTCTGATGATTCAACATCACAATTCTAGCCGATTCGAAGACCTGCGCGGGCAATATTTCCCGCAGCCATGAGACGGCGTGAGTGCCATTACGACAGGTCCAGGCATTTTCTGGATTCGCTCCCAGGCCGTGTATTGCTATAATACTGCACTCTAGTTAGTGCCTGAAATCAGAGAGCTCAGCCACTCACTCGACGCTTATACTGTTATTGGGTCTGTAGAGCTTCTGGAAGTTCTTCAATGGGGGGTGAGCTTGATATGGGGACCAAAGGTCCATTGGCGTAGGGATTAGAAGCTGTGCTGGAGTCAATGTCAGCCATATGTTAGCCTACGCCTATTGTAAGTATGGCGAGCCATAAGCGCAACAGGCCTGCTCTCTTTGAAAGAAGGCGTGACGCCTCCAATAACAGACGTAGCTGGAGACGTAGCACAACAGTATTTGCGAAGAACAATGTCGCACAGATCGCATCTTGCTTAACAGTGTAGGCGGCGAACAGCACCCATAAAGCAGCTTCGACTGACGTTACGTGCTGGTTGATAATATTCATACCTACCCAGGTCCTTCCATCATCCCGCTGGGAGGTACAAGGAAGACTGAACAGAACATTCGGGCGTGAGGCTGAACTTCCAAAAGAAAATAAATAGGCTTGAACCTTAAAGACCTTTCTTGGTAGCTCCCTCAACCCATTCTTGGCCATTCTGGCCGGTACCCCGCCAGGCCTGGCATCATGTGTAAGCTTGGAATCAAGACAGCAGGTTTGCTGACTACCTCGTGCTTGTGAGTAAGGACGGCTAGAAGATTATTACACTGGTCCTCGGCCGAAGGACTTCTGACACGGCTAGGGAGGCAAAACCCCCGTGTAAGTTTACCCAACCAGATAGTCGGACAGGTCGCCAGGGCCTTGTTAGAGTCCTTCATGTACGTGCAACAACGCACAGAGGCCTGTCCAGCAGGTCGGGAACCGAGAACGCGTTTCTGGTTGACGCTGACAGGACAACACCACCACCAACACCACCCCGAGAGAGGCAGCGGCTAGGGCAGCGAGTATCTTGCACGGCGACGGCATTAAGGAGTAGGAAAAGGCCGATGAAACACTCAGGAATAGGTAGATGACATCAAAAATATGGAATACTCTGTCAAATCTGTAAAGAATGGCACTCTTCCAGCACTGTGAACTGTTCAGCACTCCCCCTTTAGCCCATTTTGGTTTGACATATGACTAGGCAACTCTCCTTTCTGCTACCTCCCCATACCATCCCAGCACAGCCACTTTCCCTTGTTACAGTATGACTCGTGTTGATATGCCTGATACCCAAGAACCATATTGCCGGTTAAAGATCGTGAGCCACCAGCAGCTGAACTTCCACTGCACGATACATCACAGCTCTGGGTGTTATTTCATCGTCAGTGTCTTTCCTTCACCATAACATGAGGAGTTTGGGAATGGCATGTATGCGAGGTCTGTGATTTCGAAAGTGGGCTTTGAGCCGTCTGCAGTGGAGTCGCCCCTATCGATTGTCGGATTGTCTAGACAAAGTACATAGCCAGAGCCCACACTGGCTCCACGACATCGGATTAGGCTTCGCTACCTTGCCTGGAACCAGGGGGCTGCACCTTTTTGGTTATGCTGACACCAAGATTGCTTCATCCTCGATGGAGGCTAGGGCTTCAAAAAGTCCACCTTCCGGGTGAGCCTCTAGAATCGGTCTTCTGACATCGAAGCTTGGGGCTTGGGTATGTATTACTTCAAATTCCTAGGGAGACCCTGCATGGATGAAAGGTCCCTTGCATCGCTCTCACAAGAGATTTCGTTCTGGTTTTGGTTGTCTCCTTTACTGCCCTCTTTATTACCGTCTGCCTAACTGACCCTGTTAACGGTGCAGCTTCTGGCGACTCCGATTCCGAATTGGCCAGCATAATCATCCATTAGCTCTAACATTTCTCAGGGGACTAGATACTGTCGAGCGGTGTCCCGTCTTGAGCCTGAGAGGTAGTCAAATGGATATCCTCCACAAAATCCGTGTCACCGATTCATCTCTGTGCACGCAGGACTCTAGGATAAGATAGTGGATGAAGATGGGTTAGCTAAGAAAGCGCGACAATCAAACTATGTATAGCTGCCTAGAGAGCAACTATTACCTGGGGAACTGAAGGGCGATGCGAGAACATGTAGAGAGCTGAGCTGCGGACTCTGCATCCCCAGTTTCCAGGCATTTCGAACTTAGAGCCAGGAAATGAGGCATCCACGGCCAAACATTTTCAGAATGAACGGCGAACGTCTGACGCGAGTTTACTGCAGCCGCATCACTGGTCGATTGAAATGGCTTGCTTTGGGAAAAACAGGGAAATACATTTGGGAGCGTGCTCCTAGTGAGTCGGCAGTGTAGATAGACCAGGAGAATTACTTCAGAAGAGACCCAAACAAACAAATCAATCTGTAAACAGGAAAAACTTTGATTCTGATAAATCTCTATATGCCTGGATAACTGCTACTCACTCCCTTTCTCGGTCAAATTATACAATGCTGTTTAGTTCCTCAATACTTGGCCATTATTTCGTTGCTCAAGCGCAATATCTCTATCTGATGTGATCCAAAGCTGCTTGTTAATGACTGAATTTGAATTTTTGGGTGAGTTAACAAAATATATTAAGAGACAAGATTGAATAGGTGAACAAGAGCAAAAAACAAACAGGAAAGTGAAGTCTTACGCAAGATCAGGTATAGAGTCGTGAAAGGGAAGCTGAAGGTCCGCTCATGCAATGTTATGGCAAGCTGATCAATACCGCCGCTGAGAGTCTTTTCTCAGGTATTACATCTCTATTCAGCAGCTATGGAGAATTTTGCCACTGGTACATTATTACACTTTATTGTGGTGGTGGAACTGATTAAGAGGCGTTCGCAGGAATAACCCCTTTCACTCTCAGCCTTGCGCATCCTGGCAAAGTGTTATGAACTCTCCACCTGTCTCACACCTTCACTCGTTCCTAGGCATGAATATATCCTTTTAGGCACCCCCAAGCTCATAAGCTTACCCTTGATAGGCTTAGAGTTACCCTAATTGTTGAGTAATAGAGTCTCCATCTGCATTTGTTATTTTGTTTTTTTCAGGTTTATTGAGTGCCCAGATAACTTGAGAACGAAAAAAGTAATTGCCATATACAGTTTGATCCTAGAGGGTGAGCGTAGGCTGCTTTCACCTGAGCTTTAACTTAGCCTTTCACCTGAACATAGCTGAGCGCTCCCTGAGTGCTCCTGAGGACAGCCTGAGCACAGCCATCTGAGGGCCAAATTAGGCCCCCTAGCAATCGGCTACACCTGCCTCTCGGCTAGGCATCTGTTTCAGACGGGCGTCACTGAACCTGACAGATTCCCTGCCCTTACCCATCTGCCTGAATTCTCTTGTAACCTTTAGTCCGGCGTTGTGACAGGGTGCGCGGCTAGATCTTACTTCGTACTGTTGAATAAGGAATCTAATTAAGCAAAACGGTGGTCTAGACGCTAAGAAGCCTTAGGCTTCCGTTAAACTACGATTAATGGCCATGCACAGTGCCAATATAGGACTCCTTCCACTACTCTTTCCGTTGACAGAATCCTTCTTCATTCTCCAGCACAATAGGTGAGCAACTTATGGGTTCATTTGAAGCCAAACATGCTAACGACTACTATATGATCGACTGTGTGTACCCACGGGTTAGCGCGGCCTGTCCGCAAGCAGAGCGTCACTTTAACCAAGCAAAAGCCAAGCATAGCGATTGGAAAGAATGGTGTCAAAGGCATAAAGACGAGATTGAACGAGGAGATCCCGTTGGTTTTGAGGTCCGCCCGGAAGCGGGACCATCATCTCGATTCGTTCGGTGGACGGAATATAGCTGTGCGTTCCGGGAAAGTCAAAGCAGATTTCAGGAAAGGGGATATAGTTGGGCTTGCGCGGTAGACAGAGTTGCCAGATTGTGTCTGCAGTAAGTAAAACTCCCCTCATTGGCGTCAGCTGTCACACACAAGGGCAAATTTTGCGTTTACGCAATCAAGTACACTCATCATCAAAAGAAACGGGATTGCAGAATAGCGCAAAGTTGCAACGGCAGACCCGAGTATTGTGTGCGAATCCGGGAAGCGAACAAACCCATAATGACTAGGTCGAACCGTGGATAGGACGTGCAGACAAAGTCCAGACTCAAGTGAGAAGTATCCCTTCATAATATGGCCGAAGAAGACTGACATTTGAAAGACAGGAGCAGAGTTGACGATGTTACGGATCTTCAATATAAGGGTACTGGTAGGTAGGTATCAGCGAGACACCAATTGATCTCGTCACCGCGCCGATCAGAACGTTAAACGTTGTTGTACTGTCACCATCGTCTTATTGCTTCCAATGCTGAGTAT